TGGTTTGGCCTGAGTAGGAATTGACTCAATGGCACCTACAATGAGCAACAATGAGAATAAAACTCATGAAATTTAAAGGAAATAAAACAATAAACAAGAAAAAGGAGACTAGGAAAAGGGGGCAGGGAACTTGGCTCGTGTTGCTGCTGAGAACCAGACATGGTGCTGCCACGGCAGCAGCTCCTACAGCCGCCTGACAATGTCCTCTAATTTAGTAGAGCAGTCGCCACCCCTGCACAACAACAACAACAATAAAAACAACAAGAAAGCCTTTGCGGCCGCCAGCTAACCTCAAGAGTTACTGAGTGGAGCTACCAATGAATAGCAGCGATGGCAATGATACCGGCAATGGGGGGAAGGGGGCGCTGAAACATGTACCTGCCTCATCCTCTATCCGCCGTGGAGACATGGAGAAGATCCATTTGGATGCACAACATGAATCAGGACAGTTGTCATTGTGACAGCCCTTCCCCACAAGAAGACGGACAAATTATGTTTGAGGTAGAGATGCATACCAGCAGGGACCAGAGCTGTCAGAAGAGGAAGCTACAGAGGAGAGGAAGAAGTTAAGGCTTTAAAGAAAAGTGTCGAGTGAGTATCTGATGGTCCGGTAGACCTGGCAACATTCCACCTAAGGAGTCCACTTCAGACACCCTAAACTTTCACTATCGTTAAGCACGAGGGGAAAGTGGAGCCGTGAGGAAAGATGGGATATTCTGTGCAGAATTTATCATGTTTTGGCTTTGGGGTTAGGCATCTATATTGAAAACGAATGAGCATACCTTCTGCCAGCACCTAGGGAGGGAAAGAAAAGCCGGTGGGAATGCGTGTGACATGTGAAGTGTTGTTATTGTCACATTAGTTTATTTGAACTTGAGACCATTACACACATGACTCAATTCATTTCCAGTCACTTGAAATCCAGTATTTTATACAAACACTGTTGAGGCATCTTACTAACCTCATTACTTTTTGGAGTGTAAGACACTTTAGAATTTCCTAACAGAGTTTACTGTCGTTTAGAAATTGCAAGGGCTTCTATTTCTCAGATATGCCACCAGCAGATTATAATTTTGTCAATATTGCTGTCATTTCCCTTTTAGTCACTACCTGATTTAGATCTGTATCATTGATGTTTATAAATTAAACTCTTGAAAGATCAGGTTGTTGTTGTTATGTGCCATGGAGTCACCTGCAACTCATTAGTGACCCTATGTACAACAGCCCTAACCCTTGCTCTACCCTGTGCAAATCTTATTTTCTCTGACACACCTACCCCATTATACCAGTCATTGACTCAATCCATCTCACTGAAGGTATTCCTCCCTTGCACTGTCCCTCCACCCTCCCAAGCGTAATGTTCCCCTTCAAGGACTGGTCCCTCCTTGCAAAATGTCCAAAATATGTCAGATGAAGTTTCACTGAACAGACCCATTACAAAAGAAGAAATTGAAAAGGCAATACAACAACTTCCAACCAAGAAAAGCCCTGGACCAGATGGTTTTACAAGTGAATT